ACATCCCCAGTGGGAGATGTGCAGGAGGCAGCTGATCGATGTTTCTCTCTCATCGATGTTTCTAGCTCTCTGTCTCTCTCCCTTCCTCTCTGTGGAAAAATCAATAAAATATCTTTAAAAAAAAAAAATAAAAATAAAAAAAAAAAATAAATTGTCAGTTGTTTAAGAAAGTAAATTGGTGCCTGTTACTTCATCATAGTTAGAAGTAGAAGTGATTATATGTATTTTTAAAATATCAAGAGAAGGTTTAAAAATAGCCTTCTATATTTATTCACATATTTATCATTTCTGGTTCTTCATTCCTTGATATAAATTTGAATTACCATCTGTTATCATTTCCCTTCAGCCTGAAAAATGGCCTTTTGACAGTTTTCATAGTTTAGTTCTGCTAGCAATGAATCTTCTCAAGTTTATGAATCTAAAAATAATGTTCATTTTGCCTTACTTTTGAAGGATATTTTTGATGGATATAAAATTATGAACACTTTTCTTTTGCCTTTCAGCAAGATATTGTTCTGTTGTGTTCTATTTTGTATTATTTTAAGTGAGAAGTCAGACACTATTCTTGTCATTTCCACTATGTCTAGATCAGAAGCATTTTCTATAAAGGACAAAATAGTAAATATTTTAGATTATGTTAGATACACTTGGTCTCTGTCACCTAATATTTTTTAAAAAAAACAAAACTCTTTAAGAATGTATTTTAAAAAACAAAACACTCTTAGGTTGGAAGCTACTTGGAAAATAGGTCATGAGCTGGATTGGACCTGCAGGCTGTGGTTTGTTGATTCCTAGTAGATGTAATGTGCTTTCTTCCCTCTAACTACTGTTAAGATTTTTCTCTTTATTCTTGGTATTTAGCAAGTTGTCCACAATGTGCTGATGCACTTTTTTTGTGTTCATCCTCCTCGGGGTTTCTTAAACTTGTAGTTTAATGTTTTTCACCAAATTTGGGAATTTTTTGCCATCATTTTTTCAAATTCTGTTCTATTTCTCTCTGGGACTCCAATTTACATGTATTGTATTGCTTAATACTGTACACAGCTCACTGGGATTTTGTTTGTTTTTTCAACCTTTTTTTCTTTGTGTTCTTTAGAAAACACAATTTCTACTTATTTCATTTCAAGTTCACTCATTTTTTTCCACCCATGGTTTATTCTACTCTTAAACCCAATAAATGAATGTTTTATTTCATATATTATACTTTTCAGTTAAGAATTTTCATTTGGGCCGAAACCGGCTTGGCTCGGTGGATGGAGCGTCGGCCTGCGGACTGAAGGGTCCCAGGTTCGATTCCGGTCAAGGGCATGTACTTGGGTTGCGGGCACATCCCCAGTAGGAGATGTGCAGGAGGCAGCTGATCGATGTTTCTCTCTCATCGATGTTTCTGACTCTCTGTCTCTCTCCCTTCCTCTCTGTGAAAAATCAATAAAATATATATTTAAAAAAAAAAAAGAATTTTCATTTGGTCTTTTTTTATAGTTATTTTTATCCTGAGGTTCTCTTCAGGCCATATTTTCCTTTAAGTCCTCAAACATATTTAAAATAGCTGCTTTAAAATTATTTTCTGATAATTCCAATATTTGGATAACATTGAGATGAATTTTATTGCCTATTTTTTCTTGACTATAAGTCACAATTTCTTGTTCCTTTTCATGTCTAATAATTTCTTATGTATTCTGAGAATTTTGAATGATATTTTGAGGAGACTCTGGGTTCTGTTATATTCCACTGAACAATAGTAATTTTTGTTCAAGCAGACAATTTCTTCAGCTGGACTCAAAGTCCAGAGACTATGTCTTCTGCAGTGGTAAGCCACTGAAATCTCAGCACTTTAGTTATCCAGCTATTCCTTTTCACCTTTCCACCCTATTGCTCTCCCTCTACCCAATGCATGAGTAATTCAGACAACAGCCAGAAGTTTGAATAGAGCTTATAATATGCAGATTTGGTACTTCCCTTCTGCAACCCTTTTCTTTCCGTGATTTCTAAAAGTTCCTCATTTTCAGTCCTCTGGCAGTCTTAAGTGAGTAATATTTCTAATTGACTCCTCAAACCAGGAATACTTCTACCTTCTGTTTGCATGCCATCTACTTATATGCCACATAGACTAAGGAGTTCTGTCAGTCAAAAAGCTGTAGCTGCATGAACACAAATTGTATTTATCACAAGTTCCTTTCCTCTTCAAAGGTTCGACTCCCTTCCAGTTATGGTGGCTTTTGGCATTTTCTTGTATATTCAAATTATTTTCTTTAATATTTTCAAAATTTTATAACTTTTACCTATTGGAAAGTCAGGCTGATGTACATTAAATATTTTATTTAAATATTGAGCTCATTTTCCAATTTAAATATTAAATTCTCAAATCACATTTTCCCACAAAACCAGAGATGTTACTTCATTATCTTCTATTATTTAGTCTGGTAAAAAAAAAAGTCTAAAACCAACCTATTTTTATTTCCTTTACAGTTAATTTTTGGAATTTTATTTTTTATTTTTGCTTTTTTTTTTTTTTTTTGGTTTAGATGTTTCCAGGAATTTTTTTTTTTTAATAAAAAGACAATCAGTAACATTTTATTTTGGACACTTGTTCAGTATTTCACAGATCCTCAAGTTTTGAGGTAGGTTAAATATTAGCATTGTATTTTACAACCTAAAACTCAGGCAGAGGTTATGTATTTATTGCAAACCACAGCAGGAGTCCTATCATGGTCAAGAATAACACGGTCTCTCTGATATTTCAAATTAATCTCTGATACATAGATTTAATGGTGATAGCTTGCACATACTCATTTTAAAAGACCAGATGTTACAGAAATTCTACTTTGGGTTATTTTGTAATTCCTTTTTTTTTTTAAGCATGGAATGCTTCACAAATTTTCGTGTTATCCTTGCACAGGGACCATGCTAATCTCTGTATTATTCTAATTTTAGTGTATGTGCGCCAAATCAAGCACTATTTTGTAATACTTAAATCCATCCCACAATAATTATACATATTGTGGAATAACCTACTTGTTCCCATTTCTTAAAATTGCAAAATTAACACATTACTAATTTTGTTCTTTTCTGGTTTTGGGGATGGATAGAGCAGAAAGATAACCAGGGAACTTTCCTCAGAGCATTAGGCTGTCTTTAAGTCAGGCACTATATTCATGGCACCATATATGATGATTTAGGGTAATAGGAAAGCAGGTATACAAATGGAGCCAAGACCAGAAAAGATGCCTGGATCTAGGATTTTTAATTGGACTGTAAAATTGAAAAATGTCACCAAAATATATCTCAATATTAAGAACAATTTCTCTAAGTTTTTGCCAGTACCAAAATTTAGTTAGAATTCCTGGATATCCCTAAGCTTCATTGTTGCAGAATTTACCAGGCAACTGGAAAATACACAATGAGTACTGAGAGATTCAGGAAAAACCCTTTATTTGCAGATGTACTAGTACTAATACTGTTCTATTTCTCTCTGGGACTCCAAATTACATGTATTGTATTGCTTAATACTGTACACAGCTCACTGGGATTTTGTTTGTTTTTTTAACCTTTTTTTCTTCTGTGTTCTTTAGAAAACACAACTTCTACTTATTTCATTTTAAGTTCACTCGTTAATGAACTTAGGGGAGACAGTTTTCCAAAGCCTGAGTGATGAATATGGAGGAAGCCTTCCTTTTATATCAGGCTTCTGGACTTTTTCATGGGCTTTGCGGTCCCTCTGTGGGTTGGGATGGGGGAAGTGAGATTACACCCAAAGGTCTGGCCTGGCTGGCGCCAGCGCTGACAACCCCTCCGGGAGTTGTGTATAGTTCATGGATTATGGCCTCTGGAAAATGGGAGGGTTCAGGAAACAGGTTCTGTAAGGCAGCTTACATTAGTAGATTTCCCTTCATCAGCACAGGCCTAGTAAATGTCTTAGCTAAATATTTCAAGTGAGACAGAAACTTACATGACCAGACTGGAGATAGAGAAAAATATCACTGTTTTAGATATTTAAGAAACAAGTTTTTTTTTTTCTACCAGTGGAAGGTATCTCAGATGTTGAGGGAAAAAATCTTTAGAAAAAGGCTTCTTATTCTGTTTTCACATGGTATACTATGATAGACCAAATGTCTTCTGTTGCAGCATAGAAACTGAATATATTTAGAAATCAATTAAATAAATAAATAAAAAGCCATTACAAGCTATTCGTTCACTAAATGTTACATAAACCAAGAATAGTTTTCTATTAAGGAGTGAAAACTGAGATGGCTAGATGCAAAACATCAAGTCCCTAGGAAAGACCACAGTTTTCTACATCACGTTTTAGCCCTGTCAGCAGCTTACCGTTCTACCAGGTGCTCCTGGACTTTAGAGGCAAAAGTGACCATGAGTGAAGGGATTCTCATTAGATTCCCAACATTTCAATGCACCTTTTGCTTTTCAAGTAAGTTTCTGCCAGTGGGATGGAGATCTCTCAAGACCTCCTCTTATGTACTTTCCCATCATATGGTAAAGTATATTTATTATTAAAAACCTTGAAAATTTGGTCCCATTTCATAGGTTTCAGATATATATCAATTTTTATGTTTATCTTCTGGTGCTGATACATATTTTTCTATTTATATTTTACAGTTTTTTAACTCAGAGCTAGGAGATTAAAGTGGCTATGTTTATCTTGCTACCTTACACAGGGGTCTCCTTTTAGGTTTGTTTTTATTACAGTGGAACATTGGTTCTTGACCTAATTTGTTCCAGGAGACTATTCAAGAAGTGATTTGTTTGAAAACCAAGTCATTTTTCCCCATTAGAAATAATTTAAATTGAATTAATGCATTCCAAACCCCAATGATTTCCTGTTTTAACCTTTCTATTTATATACAGTGCATGTCTAATGTACTGTTTAATCTATAAACAAACACTTCTTAAATTTATTGGGCCACAGCCTATAAGCCTTAAACAAATTACTTTCAGCAATGTTCCAGGGGTGTCTTTTAGGAAGTTAGTATGTAGCACCTTCCCTTTTGCACATATCACTGCTTCAGAAATGCTAACTGCTTTTCATTTATCCAAATCAAAAATAGTTTCTCTACCTCTTCAGTTGCCTGTGATCATTGTTTCTTTCACATCCTTACCAGCATTAGCACTCATGATGGCCTCTTTATGTTTAAAAGTGTGTTAACTGTCCATTTTCTCAGCAAAAAAAAAACAACACAAAAATATTCACAGCATAATTTCCTGAGATGTTAACAACTCAGGGGTTAGCAGTAAACTGACTGACATTCTCTCCTTTGTTTGTGGCCTGAGAGAGACACTTTTTGTCATGCTGATGGATCAGCATGAAAGGGTTGTCAAATCCGGAACCAAAGCTTGTTCAACAACCGAGACATTTTTTTCTGTGAACAACTTGGTCAAGAACCAAATTGTTCAAGATGAGAGATTTGAGAACTGAGATTTGACTATGTTATATTTTATTCAAACCTGCAGGATAGTATAGAGCAGTGGTTCTCAACCTTCTGGCCCTTTAAATACAGTTCCTCATGTTGTGACCAACCATAAAATTATTTTTGTTGCTACTTCATAACTGTCATGTTGCTACTGTTATGAATCGTAATGTAAATATCTGATATGCAGGATGGTCTTAGGCGACCCCTGTGAAAGGGTCGTTCGACCGCCAAAGGGGTCGCAACCCAGGGGTCGCAACCCACAGGTTGAGAACCGCTGGTATAGAGAATATTTCTCACTTGTAACAACTGTTTGCATCTTGTCACGCCTTTTATTTACAGCTCTTTTGTCCTATCCCTAAGTTAGTCCCCCCATTCCCAGAGGTAATGACTATATTGAAGTTTGTGGGCATTCTTTTTTTCTATACCATATAATACTGTTTTTAAGTTTTTTACATAAATAACATGAAATTGTTTTACATTTTAATATTCACCTATAATCAATATTCAATAATTTAAAATAATCATATGTAAGCTAAAATGAAGAATTTTCCTAGGTGGTGCACTAATATGCTTGAAATAAATTTAATACTGTACTTATAAAGATCATTTTTATTTGAAAAACATAGGAATTATATTTGCTTCTAATACATTTGATTTTTATATTAATGGAAAATTTTTATAAAATGTATCATATTTTATTTACACAAATATTTTAAAAATATTTTCTATTTGATTCAAAAACATGACTAGATTTTTCTTTTTCTTTTTTTTTGATGAGGTCACCTAAGTCTGGAGGGCAGGTTAGAGGTTTAATGAGTATTTCTTTTCATATGCTGCTCATAATTAAATTTTAATAATTTAGGTTTAACTTGGAGACATCTTCAGTTTAAAGCATGCTCTTGATAAAATGTGTTAACTTAATAAAACCTCATTAGTAATATTCCTATGTGGCAGGTCAGTTTATTGTCATTTATAAAATGAAACAACTGAAGCATAATATAATTTAGTAACTTGTCTAAGTTCACATAACTGGTAAGTGTTGGATATGAATTCAAAGCCAGCAAATTCTGTCCTTAGAGTCTGAACTCTGAACCACTTCTCATGCTGCTTGCCTCTCAGTCATTTAATTTTATAGGCTTGTAAGTATATAAAGGCTTAAATTTTTCAACATAGGATGAGTTGCAACTTATGAGAATTACCATAGCCTCCGTCCTTCACTCATGACTAATGTGAGTTTTCAGATCCTTTCCTGGGATCAGATTTTAATAGGTGAGACTAAAGGAGGAAGGATGTTAGTGGAAGTGCCAAAAAGGGAGAAGACTGGGGGTGGAGAGTAGGGGAACTCACTGGTTTCCTAATTTTATATATGGAGTACTCTAGTGAGCAATGTTTAGAGAATTGAAAAAACCTACACTCTGAGTCTAAAGTGGTCCAGAGGTACAGTGACAGCAAAGGGTTGGAATTTCTAAACCTGTTAAAGAAACTGAGCCTCATTGGGGAAGCACAGGCCTGCTACACACCATCTTTTTTGGTAGGGAAACTGAAAGGGCAGTTATACCATTTCAAAAAGGCAAGGATTACTTAACTGAGGTTTTTGCTGTAAACTTCTGCTTAGATTATTTGTGACTACTGGGAACTCTGTTTAAGGTAGAAGTTCATTCAAACCTATGTGTTTATTTGAGCTTTGGGCCTCTTATGTTTCTCTAGAGCCCTAGCCTACTCTTAAAGCTACCTTCGGACTTTTATATTAGTAGTCAGTGATTGCCTCTCCTCCACATAGTGATTCAGAGATCCAGGCTGTTCCCTTCTGGGGTCAGCATCCTACAGAACCCCATAGTTATTAAAAGCAATCTGCATCAGGAGAATAAAAGAGGGATGGGTGTATATACTCTTAAAAGTCTTGGCTCAGAAGTTACCCACATCTCTTAAAATCGCATACCATTAGTGAGACTAAGCCTTAGCTATACCTAGATGTAAGGAGGGCTGGCAAATAAAACCTGTGGCTCTGAAGCTGCTACGTAGTGACAACTCTACACCATGGGAGGGGGAGCACACATTTTGGAGGACTGAGTGTCTGCACTCAGTCAAAGAAGAATGCAGTGATCTTTACGAATGAAGTGCTTTTGCTATGGCCAGTAATAACATCTGAGATGTCAAACAGAAATTTTGGAGAATTTGCGTCCACCACTATGACCTTGACAGATTTTCAATACTTAAAGACTTCCCTGATAAGTCAGTGGTGATATTAACAAATATGAATTTTTGATATTGTATAAAGTGTGTCAAAATTTAGATCTGCATAACTCCTTGGACCAATATTTTCCAAATGACCAATGCATTATATTAAAAATAATTATACATAGATTTTAAAAAGTGTGACAGCTAAATGAATTTGAATGTAATAGAGTACACAAAGCACACCATTGTGGTTTTAAATTCCACAATGCTGCCCGCCTTTAAAAAACTACAACTTCTCAAGTTCTTGGGTAGCATAAAGAATATTCATAATTGCCCTAACCTGTTTGGCTCAG